GTCATCGGGTGATGCCCCCGTCGTCCTCATAGCCGACGATGGAGACATCGTGCTGGACGTTACATTCGAGACATCCAAAGAGACCCTCGCCGCCGCTCGGAAGACTTGGCAAGCTGCCACGAAGAAGTTTGGCGCCCCACGTATTCCTCAGCCCAACCTGAGTCCGAGCATCAAAGTCGCTTATCGCGTCAAGCTCGCCGTCTTGAAGAAGCATTCGCGCTACTTTGCCAACCTTCTCGGAAACAAGCAGTTTGCCGAGGCCAGTAAAGTCGACGAGACTCTGGCTCGCCTGGTGTCCGAGAAACTCAAACTAGCTGAGGTGGGCTCCAGAGACTTGCCCTGGATCTCCATTGTGGACGATGATGAGGCTACCCGCTCTATTGGCCGTGAAAAGGTCTTTGAGGACTTGATGAGAATCATGCATGGGAACCAAATACAATCCACCTCCGTCAATATGCTTCATGTGACTACTCTAGCCATTCTGGCGGATCGGTTTGATTGTCGAACCGTAGTCTCGAGATACCTTAGTATCGACTTGAAGTTCAAATGGCCTCTGACAAGTGCCAAACCTGCTCGGGCCGGTACTGTCAAGAAGACTCTTGATGTTGAAAACGTACTCCGGCAAAAGATCTTGGTTGCCTGGCTCTTGGAGCAGCCTCCAAGGCTCCACAACTACACGAGAGAACTCATCCTGCGCGGCTCCGTCCGTTGGAGCAATCTGGCTGTTGAGGAGCCTAGCCGCACAGAGCTGTGGTGGAATCTGCCCGACGACCTGGAGCGTAAGTTCATACCGCTGTCCACATCAGCGATGTGCCGATGAACTAAACTTTTCCAGGAGAACTGCAATACCGCCGAGAATGTGTCCTGAACACCATCGCGTCGATACAGCGTCACTTCCTCGGACTCTACTCTTCCCGAGAGAGACAGTGCAAACTCGGCTATGACTCGAGTTCAGCATGCGACTCCTTCCAGCTCGGCCAAATGCTCAAATTCTTCACCGGCAAAGAGTTGATGGGCATCGTCGACTTTGGGCCCAGCTCTCTCGACAACATCCCAGATGCGTCGGTAATCGATATTGAGGAGATACTGGCAACTCTGAAGCAGGTCCCGAGCTACCAGATTGACAAGCACCATACCAACTGTGGTATTCGAACTCGCCTGGAGCCTATTCTGGAATACATCAGGTCGATGCTGTCTTCAACGGTCCTCTCCATCTCACAGGTCGAGTGGAAGGACAGCCGTATGTCTGCCACGTGGATTCCCGATGATGAGAGCTCGGGGCGAGATAGGGAAGAAGAAAGGTTTGAATTCACTCGGGGGTTGGCAAGTGACCAACGACTGCGGTATGAGGGCAACATGTACGCTGATAAGATAGCACGCAAGCTATTCACCGCCGATAAGTGGGATTGGACACCTGAATACTAGCGAATTCGTCCATCAGTCAATTAACGGTGCCGTATTACGCATCTAGCAGTACGTGGCATGTGCCTAGACTATCCCAAGGCAAACAAAATATCTACAGGTTAACTTGCCCGGGCCTCAACAGCCGATAGCGCAACACAGGTGGCCATCGTGACATTACTGGTTGGTCGTCATCACGACGAAGCTGTGACTGTCTTCGTGGTAGGAGGCACCTTTTCCTTGTCCGAAGCCTTGTCAGAGACTCTGTCGTCAAACTGGGCATCACTACCGCTGCCGACAACACCGTTCTGCGCTGTCTTTGGCTTCATGAATGGCCATTGTCCCTTGAGCTCGTGGAACCTCATGACGAAGAAGCCAGCCATGACGAAGATCCAGTACACGTTGTAGGCAATGACCGAGCCATAGGTTGCGGAGTTAGTCCATCCCAGAATGGCGTTGAAGATTCCCCAGCCACCGCCTCCGTTGAGTTCAGGGCTGCAGCACTTTTTCCGACAGTTAGTATGCCACGAAGCCACATTCACTGGGGTCGAGAACTCACGTTGACGTGCCACACGCTCTTATCGATGTCGTAAGAGCCCGGTCCGTTCCCAAGCTCCGCAGCGTCGCCGCCGACGACGTTGTTCCACGCTTGCTGTTCAAAGTTCGAAACTGCCCTGGTGAAGAGGCCTGCGGCGACGAGGTAGAGAAGGCAAGTAGATATGACGAGGAAAACCTGCAGCTTCGCGGTCGATCCACCCCTATTCGCGGTGTCAGCGACCTCACAGAAGGGTTCGTCGGTGCTGGACAGGACTTACTTGTATAGAAGATAACCGACCAAGGCGCCGACGATCAACCCGATGACTACAGGAAGCGGCACGGCGGTCGCGGGGGCCGAGAAGGAGACGCCGGCGACGAACACGATGGCCTCGATGCCCTCTCGGAGCACGGTAATGAACGGGAGGACAAACATGGCGTACTTTTCGATGAAGTGCTTGAACCACCCCTTCTTTGCGCCGGTCTTGACGGGGGCTTCCATGGCCTTGGCGAGCTTGACGCGCCACTTCTCCTGCATCTTTCCGATGCGGAGCAGGGCGGCTCCCATGATCGTGATGATGACGGCGGCGAAGATGGAGAAGGCTCCTTCGTAGTAGTTCTCATGGGCTTCCCAGCTGTTACGGCCGAGCTTGTAGAAGACGCCGATAAGGGCGCCCGCGGCGACCAGGCATATCAGAAAACCTATGCCCGTGCCAAGCCATACCTGCGGTGGCACAATGAGAAGAAGGACGAGCAGGGTGGTAGTGTCGGCGTTTCCTTACCTGTCGGCGTAAAGACTTGTAAACGGTGACATCTCTGTGAGGGCCGTCGAGTGTTTGCTTCAGGAACGCAAGTAAGACGGAAACAATGATGACGGTCTCGAGACTTTCTCGGAACACGACGAGGAAGACGGGGACGGAAAAGACGTCGACGGTCATCTTGGCATGGATGGATAGAAACGAGGAATCAACATTCAAGCGCGGCCAGGAGAACGGAAAGGAGTTTGGGTAGGGTAATAACCAGTCTTTGACGGCAAAGACCTGATTGATCTGATAAAGATCAATCTGATAATGGTTAGATCAAGCTGGCTGTGTGTGTGTGGGGGGGGGGGCAAGGCCTTGGGACGGGCTACCACGGAGGCAAAGGAGCAGAGGCGAGGGCCGAAGGCGGAACGCTAGCTTGTCTCTAGGGCAAATGAAAGACGCCAGGCATATCTCGATAATCATCAGACCATATCCCGGCGTGAAATGTTTGACGGGCACAGGCTTTGACCAGCTTGTGACCGGACTGCAAAGTACACTGCGGTGCACATGAGCCGAGCAGGCAAGATGAGGCGAGGTGGGATGGGACAAGATGCTGGTGCAAGCGTCACAGAATCTTTGGGGGAAGCAGAGCCAATTGGCCTGCCCTCTGATTCCAAGGTCGAATGGGTTACATTCCACCGGCCCCTTTTTCGCATGACAAGCTTTTTGGTCTCGGTTTAGTACCATCGGCTCCTGTTGCTCACGTTGAAGGTCGAACTGGCGGACGACAAGTGCTACATCCCTACCTTGGACCCGTCTCGCCTTGCCTATCGTGGGTTGGGGTCTCCGACAGCCAAGGGTCCTCGAGGCACTTATGTCGCTGTAATATTATATGGAAGGCTTTTTGAAAGTTTGAGAGCGCAGAGTCGTGCTGCTGAAAAGCACTGCACGGACACAGCAAGCTTGCTTGGAACATCAAGCGTACTGATGAGACTGTCATCGGCTGGGTCAGGTCTTGTCCGCCTATGAACATTGCTTGACAGATGCCAGGACATTCCTGATCTTCGAAAAGCGATGGAAGCCACACATCGGCAAACGGCACTTAGTCTTTCAGCCACTGTCCGCAGGGCAAGGAAATGGCGGCGCACTTGGAAGTTGATGTGGCAGGCTAACAGATGAAAAACGCAACAAGTCAGCTTCATCTCGGAACTAGCCAGCGGTAGCCACCTACAAACATCGAGCCAGCGTCAGCCCCTTCATTACTCGCAAACAGATTAGCTAGCCCGAGACAACGATGGCGGAGTCCCATCTTGATCATCCCCATCGGTGCCGATCCGTCACCTGAGAGGTTGACAGTTGGATGCGCTTTACGCCTCTCCCACCGGCGGGCGCTCCTTTCTTCGCAAGCTCTGAGACCAAGCCAACGACACCCTCTTTGAAGACGACAAGAGCGCACGAGATTGACCACCTGCTGCGTACCTGGGCTTCCTCGAGGGATTGAGAAGCATGCGCCAGCTGCAGCCCGAGTGCCGTTCATCCAGAGTTGGCGTCGACCAGCTCGCCCGCCTGGGAGAAGCTAGTCAAGAGGTAAGAGAGCAGCAGCACCGGTGGAATGGAAACGGACCCCATCGCCGCCCACCCTCAGGGACCCTTTGGCGGCAGCCCTGGGCTGGTTTAGCGTGGAGGGACAAGCTTTTTCTCGGCTGTAGGGGCCCCAGCTAGCTGATCTTCATTGCAGCAACAACCTTGCTAACCCTGCGATTTTCGACGACTGGGACCATGCCGACCTTCCGGCGGGCCAATCGCTCGAATACGGGCGCTTCGCTCGCGTCGTTTTGGTATTCCGGTCATTAGCGAGGAATCGACATCAAAGGCAACAAGGCATGTGGCCAGATGCTAAGGTGGTTTCCGGACTAGTGAGGTGGGTGGGTGGCAGCAAGAGGAAAAGTGTCTCGTAGCATCTGATAAGATTTGTCTTGCACTAACGACAAGCCCCTCGTTCTCTGCCGGTCTAGGACATGGAACAGCTTGTGTCGGGGGCACATTGGGAGATCAGATTGATAAGATGCTTCGGCGGCCAGGAGGGAGGTCACCCTGGCCAGCAATGGTCGCCACAAGTTGCCGTTTGGTCCAGTCCAGACAAAACCTGCTGAGGTTCATTTCCTTCGCCATCCTCGCCCTCCTCTCTGGTAGTCGGTCATACGTGCTGTCGCTCCTCCTGTCTTTCACTCAGGATAAAAGGACAGACGAAGCAAAGGCCTCATCCTGGACCAAAGGCGACTCTTGGAATTTGACTTTTGCCATTGGTTTTGACCGTTAATTATGGACTTCACGGCAAGAGCATGCAGATTCGGCCTGCTGGCTGCATTACTGCTGCAGCCAGCATCTGGGGCAACCGTCTCTCACGACTTCAACATTGGCTGGGTGACTGCGAACCCAGACGGCGCTTTTGCCCGTCCAGTCATTGGAATCAATGGGCAATGGCCGATTCCGCGGATCGATGCGAACGTGGGGGATACCATTCTCATTAACGTCCAGAACAACCTGGGTAATCAGTCGACTTCCCTCCACTTCCACGGCTTGTTCATGAACGGAACAACGCATATGGACGGACCTTTACAAGTCAGCCAATGTGCCATACCACCAGGCTCATCGTTCACATACAACTTCACTGTAGGCGGCCTCCTCGATCGCGAAGATCAAGTTTGAACGCCCCGTTGACTATCTACAGATTCAGCAGCCCGGCACCTATTGGTATCACTCACACACCCAGTCTCAGTACCCCGACGGCCTGAGGGGCCCGGTCGTCATCCACGATCCCGACTCCCCATTCAAGGGTCAGTACGATGAGGAGGTCGTCGTGACGCTCTCCGACTGGTACCATGACCAAATGGCCGATCTCATCCCTCCCTTCATGAGTAAGGGAAACCCGACAGGCGCCGAACCCGTTCCTCAAGCAGCCCTCATGAACGATACCCAGAACCTCACGGTCGCCGTCCAACCTGGGAAGACGTATCTCTTCCGAATGGTCAATATGGCAGCGTTCGCAGGCCAGTATGTCTGGATCGAGGGTCACAACATCTCCATTGTCGAGGTCGACGGCGTGTACACGGAGCCGGCGGACGCAAGCATGATTTACCTCGCCGCCGCACAGCGCTGCAGCTTCCTCGTCAAGACTCTGAACGATACCAGCTCCAACTTTGCCATCGTTGGTAGCATGGACACGGTATGATTCTCCAAGACGCCCCCGTGTCTGGGTTCTGGGCTGACCAATGTAGTCCCTGTTCGACACCCTCCCGCCAGACCTCAACTACAACGTCACGGGATGGCTCGTCTACGATTCATCCAAGCCGATGAACCAGGCTGCGACACTCGACAGCTTTGCGCCCTTCGACGACATGACCCTTGTTCCCTACGACAAGCAACCCTTGCTCACCTCGCCTTCGCAGACCGTCGAGTTGGACGTAATCATGGACAACCTAGGCGACGGCGCAAACTACGCCTTCTTTAATGATATCACTTACAAAGCCCCCAAAGTACCCACGCTTTACACGGCTCTCTCGGCGGGAGGCAACGCAACAAACCCGCAGGTCTACGGAACATATACACACAGCTTCGTCCTCGAGCGCGACGAGGTCGTGCAAATCATCGTCAATAACCTTGACCCTGGCCGCCACCCCTTCCATCTCCACGGCCACAACTTCCAGGCACTCTACCGCGCTCCCGAGGAAGGCGGAACGTTTGAAAATGCGAACGTCTCAGAGGCGGACTTCCCAAAGACCCCCATGCGGAGAGATACCCTCGTCGTCTGGCCCAATGGCAACATCGTGCTCCGCTTCAAGGCCAACAACCCCGGCGTCTGGCTCTTCCATTGCCATATTGAATGGCATGTTACTTCTGGCCTGATGGCAACGTTCGTCGAGGCACCGCTTGACCTGCAAAAGAGCCTCACAATCCCCCAGAACCACAAGGATGCATGTGCTGCGGGCAACGTGCCCATCACTGGCAACGCGGCGGCGAACACCCTGGACTATCTCGACCTGTCCGGCCAGAACACCCCGCCAGCGCGTCTCCCAGACGGGTGCGAACTCCCTGATCCCATCTCCACTGCTTCATATATGCTGACTTGTCATGACTAGATTCACCGCTCGTGGCATTGTTGCCCTTGTTTTCAGCTGCACCACTGGCATCCTCGGCGTCCTTGTGGTGGCGTGGTACGGCCTGGCGAAGACGAACGACGGACCCTCCGGGGCGGGGTATACGGCACCAACGACCGGAGCGGCGTCCGGAGCGGGGCATGTCAGCGAGGACCAGCATGAAAAGGAGCCGATTATTGTCGGAGCCGGGTCTGGGAGTTCAGGAATTGCACGTACCTGACCGTCGCAGTGAACCTGGCGGGCATGTGGTGTTATTATTAGAATGTAAGCGACCCGGTGATTGGGTCTTATACCCAAGACGCGCCTTAGATCACGGATGCTCAACCGAGATGAGGCGTGACCACAATAATAGGCGAAGATCCATTCGTAGATAATCCTGGCATCCCCAAATGTTGCCGTCAGTCGAGTGTTCACTTGTAGAACCACCGTAGATTACAACATAGCAGTGCGGAGAAGCACTATGAACGAGTAAAACTTCAATTAATCTACTATTGGATGAAAATTCAAAGGGGAAAAATGATAGACTCCAGACTCCTGAGTTCGACATTTTTGTCGATGGTGGCCCCTCCCCCTTGTCATCGGCCGTGACTGGCCAGCCATGCTAGATGGCGCTTGGTTTCATTAAATATCACACACGAGAATCAGTCAATCGCTCTCATGTGGTCCTACATGCGCCCACATGTCCTTCTACGACGCAAATATGCCTACAGCGGCTCTGCTCCTTTGGATCTTCGGAAAACCTCGTTGATAGTGACCTGGCTTCTCTCGCCAGACCGTCTCATGTCTCCAACCTAGTTCAGCTCGCCCAATCACATCGCATGAAGGCGGATGTGTGTATTGGGCTGATTCTGTCGGACAACTCATCTCGACGCAGCCTGTCAGGGCGTCATGATGTCGTTGGCGTTGTGCACAACCCGCGTGCTCCCTTAGGTGCTCTTCACCTTCCTTGGAAGACCCTGCGCCCGCCTCATTGCGAGATCGCCCTCGGCAAGCCACTTGCTCGCCTTGACGATTTGCACAACATTGATGAACTGCTTCATGGCCATGATGGGAAAGCTGACGCCAGTAAGCACCCACGGCCAGAAAGAGTCCATCTTGTTTGCGCGGGCCATCTCGAGAGCGGCGGCGCTGTAAGGATTCGGGAAGATCTGGCTGAGCAGAGAAGTGTTGACCTGCGCACCAGCCTGAATCTGAGCGGCGTCGGAGTTCGAGACAGAGTTGAGCAGAGACGGCGAGAGGAGCGGGGAGGAGAAGGAGAGGAGGTAGAGCGCAATGAAGAAGAGCTCATTGGCTGCACAGAAAACAAACAAGACGGTCTGCAAACAAGTCAGTCAGATGGGGTCGGAGAATCAGAAATCGACAAAGACTCACCTTGTTGGTGTAGTACAGGTTCAGGAGCCAACTGCGGCTCTTGTCGACATTCTTGTGACTGGTATCGGAGCCTCCCATGGTCAGGGTGGCATACATATGAATGTAGTGGCTAGAGAAGTCGAGGGAGAGGAGCATCTGGAAAACAATGGTCCATCGAGGGAACGCGCAAGACAGGAAAACCAGCAAGCACGAAGTGGTGCACCTATCAGTGACCATGTCGAGGACGGCACCGAAGCGCGTCGACTGCTCGAAAGCGCGCGCCGCGTAACCGTCGAGGGCATCCAGAAGGCAGGACACGCTGTATAGCAGGGAGCATGTTCGTGGGTGGAGGGGCATGTAGTAGAGAGAGGCAATGGCGAGGACAATGCGCGAGTAGCCTGTGATGAAACACGAGTTAGCAACGTCATGGTGATAAGCTTGGAAGCTCGCTGGGCAGCCATACCGATGATGTTGGGCCAGAATAGGAAAATATTCTCCTTGGGACCACTCTCCGAGGGTTCCGTTCTGGTAGCTCCATTGCCATTTCCGTTCATCGTGACCTGTTCGGTTGGCTCTTCGACTACGACTTTTGGGGATTCGGCGGCAGCGGCAGCGGCCTGGGCGGCCTGGCGCCTCGTCTGTCGGACGGACATGGTGATGTGGCGGACTGGAAGCTGTAATGCAGCAGGTTGAAGAAGCTGAGCTGTCCACAAAGGGGTGTGAAGAGGTTTTAAGCGGCGTGGATGAGGCGACCGAAGCAGCCGGTGTTGCAGTGGAGGTTGCACGGATGGAAGATAAGTGGTTCCGGCAACAGGATTCGTAAGGAAGATATGCAGATGGATCGCAGATGGGTCTGACTTGCTCGGCAAGGATCTTGAGGATCTTAATTAGGGTAAGGAGGACCTGTCTGCGTCGAGTTTGGTAGAATCGAGGCGACTCGAGGAGGGGAGGGGAGGAAGTCGAAGGTCGAAGTACCAGGGAGGCGACGGGTGTGGAGCTGTTGGATGCAAGATGGAGAGAAAGGAGCGTGAGCGTGAGGTGCAGGTTGCAGGAGGTCAAGCACAGTCAGTCAGTCGCAGCGATGGAGGGCAGAAGTGGAAGCCGCTGATGTGGAATTCTTCGGACGGCACGGAGGGTTCGCCCAGCTCTGTGCTGACCATGCCTTATTAGCTGACCTGACAATTCTCTTACTCTGCACCTCACTTCAGGTTTGACTGGTCGATAATTTACTATCGAGCTTGGCTCCTCCACGGGCTACGTAAGGCGCCAGGTAAGGCAGCCAAGGTGTCTCATCTGCTTCCACCTCTGCGCTCCAGGTGCGATGGAGACCATGGGTAGGTACCTACTTTGGGTGCCTTGTCCCGTCTTGCCTTGGCTGGTAACGCACCCTCCACTGCCGCTGCAAAGAGCTACCAGGTACAAAGTCCGTAAGGTAGGATGAGGTACTTCACCTTTTTCACATGTATCCGGATCTGCAGAGAGAGCCCACCCGAGAGCTCGCGCGTCTTCCAGCGCTCCCGCCTCGACACCACCTGCCTGGCAGGCTCGACCTACCCTTTTGTGCCCCTTTGCCGGCCCAGCTGGCGGGTCATTGGATACCTACCTAAGCACGGATAAGAAATGGACAAGACACTCGAGAAAACCAGCTAGTTCTGCCTTGGCACGCTTACCTCAGCAAGCGACCCACGAATCAGCGAGAGCCGTGCGTCAAGTCCGAACCAGCAGAGATAGAGGCGCCTTATCGGGCAAGCAACAGTCGTCTTGCATTCGTCAGTGACATACCGCGAGCTGCTCACCTATCTACCGTGCTACCTATCAATCTAGGTAGCCATAATGAGTTAGATCCGCTTTCTCTCTGCCCGGGCATGACACTGTCGGTTGTCGCGTGAGTCGTCGTGAGCCGAAGAAGGCCAATTTCGGTCTTCATGGTTTGGGCTTGCTCTCCCAGTCTAAACATTGCCTTCCCACGGCTTCCTTCAAACAGATTGATGCGACACCAACAGTACTGAGTTTTGGAGTGGGATGCCGCAAAGCAGCGCCAAGAGACACCTGCATGTCTTGGATTATTCTATCTAGACCACCGCTCATCTTCTCCAGATAGACGCCCACTTTGGTGCTCATCGAGGCCGTCATTCTCGCAACTTATTCCCCGTTAGCCCAACACAACAGATGTAGGTGGCCGCCCTCCTTATCTCCAACACCAGCTCCTATCACGATAACCAACATCCAGAGATCCAGCCCGCCGCCCTCCGCTCTCCGCCCTCACCACCCAGCCAGCAGCATGCCTGCTCGTCTTCATCGCCTTCCCCACACTCTGAATTCTCAATGCTTCACCTGTGGTGGCTACTGGGTCACTGCCAACAACAGCAGCAACATGGACATGCATCGTTATTCAATGAAACCAGCGCACGAGCAGACGCGTTGATGCTGAGGTCTGGTGATCGCGCACGAGACCGACTCTGTGCAGCTTTGGCCTTCTACCATCAACGCATGCCAGCCGTCAATCATTGATGTCAGTTTCGGCCCCCAATGGAAATGCACACAATAGGTAATTGACATGGCATCACTCACGGCTGGCTAGCTGCCGGGACACAAGGAGGGACCGTGTGTTCGCCCGGCCCCCTCCCCAGGAAATCAGCAACCGGAACCGAAGCGATCTCGGACTTGCAATCTGGAAGACAGCACAGCACATGGCCTTTTTGGACGAGCCTCACCCACCTCACGGCCGAGTGCCCAGCCCATGGCCGGACACCGACCTGGGTCGCATTGTCGGGTGGCGGGCCCGGCGTCGTCAATCGCGTTTTCCTGAGTAAGAAAAGCGCCCACCGGCCTCTCTATTCGACACACCCGGAACAACACTAGAACTCACCGGACCCCCTGTTCCGTTCTGGCTTCTCGTCCCGCCTGGCACTCGGCTTCTAGGGCTTGCTTGGCCTGCATTCCATGCAGCTGCCGCCACTAACACATTAGACTTCCATTCCTCCCTCTCCTGCTGCTTGTCCCTTCCCTCCCCTTCCCTTGGTTGCCGCCGGCACGAGACGTTGAAAGTGCGATGTGGGATGTGGGACGGCACAAGGCTAATGGCAGTCGACTGAGGTAGCCATGGTTGCGGGGGAAAGGATTACACCGTTCTTTGGTTCATCGGACTTCCCGTCTGTCTCCTCGCATCAAAACACGAGAGACCCTTACTAGCGACAATTAAGACCCGGGGACATGGCACGATATTGCCCAGCCGCCCCAACTTGATAGGCTGAGATGTGCTTGGGGGTCGTGACGTCGAGAGCCTCCGGCCCGCAAGCTGCACCGTTAAAGTGGTCCATTGGGGGCGACGGCTTCACCGCAGGATCCCATCCACCGCTTCCGGTCATGATTCTCATTATCTGACGGCTGCGGTCAACACATGCACGAGACAGACCAGAGACCAGACCAGACAGACAGGCAGACATCCAGGCCAGGGTTTGCCGTAGTGTAGTCGCGGTCAACCATCTCGACCGGCCTGGTTGTCCGTCTGTCTCTCATCGTCGATGCATTGGCATCCAATCTGACGTATCGAGATCAAGGTTGCCCGTTCCATGCCCAGCATGCTTTCGCCGACACCACCCCCGGCTATCCAAAATATTTCGTCCTTTCTTTCGGCAACCGGCCGACAGCACGGCTGATTGACATGATTCGCACCGCAACTCAATGTTACACAAAGCAACACACACGCAGGGACCGGTGATTGGTGCGTCGGGCGGGCTCCGGCCTGGCAACTAGAGATTATTGGAGTTGCGCGTTGCGACAGACGGACCACCCTGAAAATGGGTATTGTGGCTGTTATGAGTGAGTGAGTGAGTGTGTGTGTGTGTGTGTGTGTGTGTGTGTGTGTGTGTCTCAATCATTACCGTGCTGGCGTTGCGTTGCTGTGTTGCCGTGGTGCGGCCAGCGTTCCAACCGCCCCTTGACCGCAGAGCTACACGTCACAGTCGCATTTGCAGGGTCTGGACGGGGAAAAGAAAAATACTTTCGTCGGACGTCGGTCTGGTTCCAGAACGTGCGAAAGGGTGGGTTCGAGCCCATCTCATCTGGTCGACCTACGCCCTTTTGGCTTTCGAGATCGACTCAGGCATTCTACCGTCAAGGGTTGCCGCGGCTCAAGCTTTTACAAGTTTGATTCCCATGGAACGCGACGGCGCCGTCACCCTCGCCGGCCCTTGGATGATCCGCCGCCACGGTGATGTGATATGGGCTGAAGTTGAGCTGGGTATCGATTCATTCAGTCACTTCAAACTAGCACTGAATTACCGGGGTGGCGGCCGGTGAGGCAGGCCGTCCTAACATATGCCTGGATGAAGTCTTTTGGGAGAACTGGCAAAAGGCATGGTCTGGTCTGCTTGCCGGGATGCCACATGGAAGGTCAGCATGCCTCCTATTTTAATTAGCCCACACCACAGGCTTTTTAGTCAATTCAGGGTGCAGAAGGGGGGGTCGGGATCATCTAGCCGTTCCAAGAACGGCGGTGTTCCTGGACTCTCCGAATCCGACCAGCAGGTAGAACATTGATATGGCACATGCCGTGGCTCTTTGGGATGATGAGGTAGATGAAGGACTTCGGCAAGTGTGGATTGAGTCTGAGAATGCAAGAGGGTTTTGGGGACAAGACTGACTGGCGTTCATGGAAGGAAGGGCCGACAAAAGAGGAGTTGCTTGCTTGCTTCACGGCGGGAAAATTGGACGGAAAAGGGTTTTGATGCATGCGCAACTGACAACTCGAGGTACGGCGCAGCGAAGAGCTTTTCGAGGTGAGGATGGATGGATGGATGGATGCCGCCGGGTCAGGTGGTACAGCCACGATAGTCGATCGGTGTTCAAGTCCCTCGCCTTGGGTATTCTCTCAGACCAATACCCATCGTACGAATGTCCGTACGTGGTAAGGTGGATGACAAGCAAGGTATGCGTACTTGCGTGGGGTGAGTGCTTTACGGAGAACTCCATAATGCTACAGGTAAGGTATGTAGACGAATACCTGAAGTAGGTACTACTCTGAATGCCTTACAGTACGGATATACCCTACCGTGCTTGGGGGCAATTCATTCCCTACCTACGGGGCTGGTCAAAGGTCAGGGGGCTCTGCTTTTAGTTACTTTTCTCTCTCTCCTCTTGAGTCCCAATTATATTGATCCTCGTCGTCTCCTCTCGTTTCGTCTGATTGACTGATTTGCTGGTATTTGCCCCATGCACTTTGGTTGTTGTTGTTGGCCTCCCGTTTTCTCTCTGTGACACCCACACACCCACTCAACATACACGCACTGTCTCTTGCTCTTGCTCCGTCTCTCTCACCCACTCACTCCCTCTGCCTCCTTCGCCGCTCTCTTTTTCTCTTTCTGCCGAGATCTTTGACAGTTGCCGCAGTACGCACCCCTTTCCATGAATCTCCATTGCCTCTCTCTCTGTCAAGTTCCCGCCAAAACCCCCCCCTTCCACTTCCGTTCCCTCTCTAGGCAATTGTGATGCAGAGAGCGAACGCGAACCCCTCCATGCCCATCTCTCCTCGTCCCCCCTCCCCCTCTGGCCCCTCGTCCAATTTTTAGCCCGCCGCCCTCAGTGTCTATCTAATCTTAAGCGCACCCCCACAGTCACATTTGCACACATCGACCTCACTAACTACTTTTTG